ATATATATATATAGTTATATATATAACTGAGCAGCGCTTCGTCTTCAGGGCAGATTGGAGACTACAGTGAGTCGCTAGCTGGTTAGCATGCTAACTTCAGTAGAAGAAAAGACGTGATAGAGACAAGAGTTAACATTAGTGTTGATTTCCACATCTGGAGACTGCTGTTGGCTGATGCTAATGCTAAGCTAAGCTAGGTAGTGATGCCTGGCAGGTACAAAAAATGAGTAAAGAGCACTCTGTCCAAACCTCAGATGGTTTTTGGGACATTAAAAACCTCTGCAGCCTCAGGCTTCACCCTGAGTCGAACTGATGATTCAGATGAGCTGAATCTGACATGTGATTTGAATCATCGTTTATTTAGGTTGGCAGCCACATATCTTCATGATATTTTATTAGAGTGCACCAGTTTTCATCACTATTACTCCAACGTGGGTTAATGTTTATTTATTGTTTTTCCTTAATGTCTCAGGAAATACAGACGTCATCAGTCCAAAACTCAAAGATCTAATTTCTAGTCACATAAAACAGAGAAAAACATTAAATCTTCACGTCTGAGAAGCTGAAACCAGAGAGTTATTGTTAAGTGACAATCAAATAATGAATTAGTTAATTAACTGTGTGTATTACAGCGCGGTGTTGAGTCCTCACCCTCTCCCAGTCTTGGCTCAGCCAGTGTGGAGCGCAGTCTCTCTCCCCACAGGGGTGGACAGCCAGCGGCTTGTTCTCCGCAGAGCACTGGTTCTCAGGGACCACGCGGCCGTCCGGAGCCTTGCAGTACACGTGACGCAGCATCTTCCCCTGGCCGCACGACCCCGAGCACTGCAGCGACAAAAGGGGTCAAAGGTCAGAAAGCATGACATCATGAGAAATCTTCGCCGCCGCAGCAGCAGCAGCAGCAGCAGCAGCAGCAGCCCCGGTTTCTGTGACCGTCTCCTTGAGCCAAGTTTTGTCATGGAGCTCAGAGTCAAATGTAACGTCACGTTCAAGGTAGATCGTCACGTCGCACCGCAAAAACCACTTCCTGTCACAGTCATTTCAGATAACATCACAGGATCCTTCCACAGCACACACTGGCTGTTATAGAAGTATTCGCCGTCTCTGTACACGTCATCCTCACATAGTTCTGTGTTTGATCTGACTGTGCTGTCCCTGCACCCTGACGGCCTCTTCATGCCGACGCCGCTTCCTGTTTATCTCCGATTCTCATATACAAACTGCGAAACCTCATAAACAGATTCAAAATGAAGCAGAAACATTTGCCATCAGTATTTATGTTCAGTCTCACACGTGTTTAGACTTCGTCAGCTCGTCGTCAGCAGTGAGGAATCAGCTGCAGCATCGACGACACACCCACCTGCTCATGACGGCGAAGTCAAACCAAAACGCTTTCTTCTTTTTAGATAAATTCTACTCACATCCCAGAGAGATATTTAATATCTCAAGAGTCTATGAGGGGAAATATTATCACATATAGAAGTCTATAACTGTATATCAAAAGTTAAATGTTTAATACATATATTAAATTCTTATATGCTGTATATATTTAATTTATATATACAAGTTTATTAAAACAACATACATATAGGAATTATATATGATTATTAGTTTAATTGATTCTGGGAAAGTGTTCTCAGACTTTATATAATATCAACATATATTGACAGGCTGTGGGGTGGATGTATATCTATGTAACATATGTCTACAATATAAGCTTACATATTGTACATAAACATATATAACTGTATGGGCTGGATATAAATGTCAATATATGAAATTTCTAATAGTTTTCGTGTATATTTACCACTGTAAACTCAGTATATGTACAAATATTACATTTGCCTCCACTGTGTTGGTGTGGAGCATCTGAACCTATAAATAAAATAAATAATTAGATCTGTCTGGATTTGGATAAAATTACCTTTCAAAATAAAATCAAACGTGACTTAGAGGACTCACAACATGTTACACAGAGGACATGATATCACAGATTTACTGCAGGCCTGTCAACCGGTCCATCACTTTGTACTGACAGACGCTCACAGTCGGTCCTTTTCACTGACCTAACATTAGCTGCAGCTTTGGGAATTTGTATTTTTACAGTGTGCAGAGAGCGTCTCTCAGCCGTTCGTGCTTCTGCCTGGTTTTTCCAGGTTTGGCTCCACGGTTGTAAATTAGACCTGAAAGTTTCCAGACTTTGACTTTGAATGGAACATCAGAAACTACATTTGTCTGTACAACACAATAAAAGACATAAATTCACACTGTGGCACTTTTAACAGTTACTTTCTCAGTGAAGCAAAGACAGCTGGGAGAGCTGAGCTGCTCCTTCTCTAACAACCGGATCGATCTCACAAATATTAGAGGGAGGAAAAAGTGTTTAAATGTAAGGGAAAGTTTTTAAATGAATGGTTTAAAGAATAATCCTCGACTGGGAGAAGAAGGTGGTTGTGTACAGATCTACGGTAACTGTGAGTGAGTGAGTTAATAAAGAGCATAA